AAATGATGTCCTCACATTGCAAACATGCGAGTACATGTATAACACATATAAGTAATACACGGCAGAGTTTTCTATCAGTAGTACATGTACATGTATGATGCATTGAAAATCCTCTGCATAATTTACCTCCTTGTGCATGTGTTACTTACATTACATAAAAGAAAATGTTCACTCACGGATAACATATTTTTATTTTTAGAGGATGAACTTTAATGATTCATTGTTCTAAGGTGACAGATGCAGACATGTTAATATCCATGCAAAATTTCAAGTTTTCCTTAGGTTTGTGTGCAAGCATGGATACAATGAGCAGGTTTTGCTGTGATAAGTTAGTGCCCAAATAATTTCATATACTGGGTAACTGTGTGGTTCAAATGGATTTCTGTTGCCATTATCAGATAGGTAATATACAGTATCACCCAAAGTGCAAGCAAAATATGAATCCAAGCTTCAAGTAGGATTACCATGTAGGGCAGTTTCCATTCCAACTTTCAGCCACAAAACCAGCCACAAGACCAGCCACAAGAACAGACCCCAGACCAGCCACAAGATCAAACAGAACACCATGAATATTTCTTTCATTCTGGTTCAACATTTTCAGCTTTATTAATGAAACATGCTCTCTGAAAACAAAGAACATTTTCAAAACAAGCTTACTGACAAAAGGACACAATTTCTTTAAAAAAATAGTTTTGTGTCCAAGGAATGCCTCCAATGACTCTGTTCTTTTTCTTTTTTTAAATTTTATGTGTAACAACGCAGGTCAGTAGTGAAGTGAGTGGAAAAAGTTATCCATCCTCCCCCCGAAAAATAAATGGCAGAAGCACATTGTGCACACTTACATTGTGTAATTCTCCTCTATCGGCTTTATGCCAGGTTTCAATAGTCAGAGACATTTTTTCCTTTCCCATGTATGCAGGATTCTGTGAAAACAAAAGGAACAGATTACACCTGTAGAAGTTACACATGAGGAAGAAATCAGACTGCAAGCTGGAAAAAGGGTAAAAAAAGTAACGACCTAGATGGACATGGACTCACAGTATAAAGCTAGCGCCACAGTTACAATTAGTTGCACAACATTGCAGTTGTCAAATATTTCTTACACCTCATATTTTTCCACACCACTAGCACCGAACCATGGACATTGTTTACAACAACAACCTGTGGTGTAGCCAAAGGTTGCTCGGAGACATCCCCCATCACCCCCATCCCCAATGGCAATTTGGAACATAAAGAAAGTAAGAGTAGTATTAAGATGCTGTGGGACTTGTACCACTGTCCTGCCAAGGTAACATCACATGCTCTCACTCCTGCCCCTTGAATGAAAACCCTGGCTACATCGCTGACATCATTTTATGTACAGTGGCCAAGCTGCAGTTCAACATGCCATCTCCCTCAACAGACTAGGGCATTGAAGAATGACACGTGAATGAATGCAGACTGTCGTGTTGTCTTTACTGGTTAACCAGCTTACTGTAGAGGACAAGTATTACAGTTTCACAAAGGGCTTGCCAACACAATCGGGCCATTTGAAAAAGATTGTCAGATGATTCTCCAAGGCCAGTACATGTACATGTATTTACTGTACTTTACTTTCTTTTAAAATCTTCCTCAAATAACTTGCTCTTTTCCTCCCAAACTACATTTTGGGCCCAAAGAATCCCCAGGCTTAGGCTGGTTACTTGTGAAATAATCCTGGTGTGATCTGTAGCACAGTCATGTGACAAGGAACTACTCACAGTGATTACTGTCTTGCAGTATGGATACGCATTCCAGGCCTCTTCAACCATCTCCAGAGCACCTTTGGGTGCTAGTGCCCTGATGTAACCTGGAACTTTGCTGTAATGATAAAATATTAGAGTAAATGTAAGTAAATCAAATCATGGCCTGCCTGTACTCCTACATGTATAAGCCATGCTGAGTATTATCATACATGTACACTAATATGCAAAAATAAAGTTACAGCTTACATTAAAAATACTGGAAAAAAGAGCAGTAGTGGTGTTCTTTTATTTGTCACTGTCATTCATGTACACTGTTGTAAATGTAATAATAATAATACTAACAAGCACTTGTAAAGCGCCATCTATCCAGCAAACTATTCTGAGGCGCTGTATTGTCATTATCCCCGCACATTGGGCTCACACATCATCTGAACATTCCTGAAACCATCTCAACTCCCTAGGGAGTGTACTAGCCTGGTGCTGCCATTTCAACGCAAATGGCTAAACAACCATGTCTGCCCTCACAGGTACCCATTTACTCCTGGGTGGAGAGACACACATAGGGGTAAAGTGACTTGCCCAAGATCACAACATGCTGCCACCAGCTGGATTCGAACCCCTAACCCTATGATCAGAAGCTACAAAACCTAACCACTACGCCACGTGCCTCCTATATATATGTATATATATACTGTATGTCTGATCATGTCCAAGAGGTACATGTATGTGCCTTCATGTGATATACTATATATGTATACTGTATGAAAAGTAAAATGAAGACAGGGTGGTAGTGTATAGGCATGCAACTTCAGGCACAAGAAATTACACTGTACATGTACATTAGTAATACAGAGCTCATGTTACTTGGACGGAATCTGCACATGCATGTGCTCCAGTGCAGGTTCTCCAACCAGTTGATCAGTACTCACTATTTGAGATGGTAGATTTTATATGTGTATTGACCACTCTCCGTATCTTTTGTGTAGGGTCTATTCTCCACAACTTCAATGCCCTCTCCGCCACCAGTTTCATTCTTGCTGGCCTCCGCCACAGCCCACAACTGAGCGACCTGGTACTGCAAAGGACCAATTGTAAAACAAGACAAATTTACTGACAGTTTTGAAATGAAAATTTTTCACTGTGACTGGCAACAGGTAATGTACATGTACATGTAGGCACTTGCTGGGGTTGTTTATCTCACACAGAGATGCTATAGGGTTTGAAGTTTGTGATGGACAATGGGATGGTACTCGTATCCACTGAATTGGACATCAACCCTACATGACCCATGACCATACAAGTCCAGTGGTCTGGCTACTGTCCATTAAACCACCCCAGTATTATGAGCCACTGGACCAGTACTCCAGTGACTTTCTCAGTGAAATTCACACAGTCGCAGCTAGCTCACAGTAACTCAGGACAAATCACAGTTGTACACAGTACATGTGTGGAATGTTCATCCATCACCGTCCAGCCAAGATCGTGTTTACAATATTTATATAGCTTACATTAAAAACACTCTGTGACTTAGTACAATCACAGTCTCAAAAACACTTGGTCAGAGGGCAAGCAGCTGTCTAAACCTTTTGAATCTTACTTGACTTGTTCCCCAAGGGGTTTCAAGTCCCATGTATACATGTATAATGTACATGTATACGGTACAGTACATGTGTAACAATAGCTCATTTCTATGAGCAGTAACACAGACTTTTATGACTTTATTCTGAAGATCTGGTCAGCCTAAGATTAACACAATTTCACATTATGCTTGAAACTTTCCTTTTAACGCTGTATTAAATTTGGTGAGAAATGCTTTCCCAGCAATAATTACATGGACAAGGTGATTCGCAAAAGCCCTTTTGCATTAGAAATACAGAACACCCTTTGATTGCACAGCGTGCAGATGTTACTGCAAGAGCACTATACACACAGAATGCTACTAACATGTACAGTACAATCTACTGGTACCCCGGTATGTGTTATTTTAAGTGGCTACCGGTACATGTGCAATATTTCTAATTATGTAATAATGATTAACATCGAACGTCTTAATGAAAAGTATCACTATGACGACAAGATCACTTCGTAATCAATCATGGAGCTATAACAATCAATAAAACCAGCCTGCAGAATCTAATGCTCATACATGTAATGTGTGCAAATACAATGTACCATCTGCCCGTGCACTCTTCAACTGCACTGGTCCCTCCCAAAGTGGATTGTTGAGTGCACATCTGGCATTTCATGGACAGGTCAATTCAATCATGACAGTACAGGTACATGTAAATGTTTGTCTGGTACATGTATATTGGTACATACAGGTACTGTACATGTACAATGTACATGTATATACATGTATTAATTTAACCCTAACCATCCTCAATCCTTCAAAATCTTCTGAGTGGTTTTGGAGGATTGTGGAGGATTGAGGCTGCATGGCAAAATGGCATTGCTGATTGCAAAGGATTCATTGTCTCAAGGTTGTGGGTTAGATCTTCACTGTAGGTTGTTTCTGTTCATCCATGCACAAATTCATGCCCTCCTATGTGAATTACTCCATACTGCTCCAGGACACCATTCACACTGCCTCAACATAATAAGGGGAATTGCCGGAGGATTCTGAAGGATTGAGGCTGTGGGCACCCCTCCACAGCACATACTCAAGAAATATTGAGGATTTTGGAAGACTGAGGCTGTATCCAATTTTTTCAGGGGGGCAGTGGGAGGATTTTGAAGGATTGAGGGTGTATCCTAGCCAAGTGGGCCTAGGCAGTTAGATTTAATACATGTACATGTTTGTATTGTCTTAGTAGAAAGACTGTCATAGACAATGTGTGAAAAAAATCTTACACTATCAGCTGAACCATTCCAGATTCTCCTGTAATGAGTTTAAGAAAATTCCAACATTTTCAAAAAGGCATAATTTAAAAATACCTGTATATCCGAGTATGTGACTGTACTGTACCTGTATGCATGTGTTCTTACACTGTACATGTACAGTACCTGCGCAGGTACTAGGTGCACGCAAAGTTTAAAAAGGTCACCGTGTAAAAATATACAAGTGTGCACATGTGTCAGAATGTCTTGGGGCCTCCAGTGTTTTGTGCATCTACCCTGACCCCAAGGCAAAAAATGCTATAAATCCAAAAAGTGGTTTCGGACTGCAGTCTTTCTCCCTACTCATATCCACAACCACAGTGCAGAAACATGTTTGAAAGGGTAAACCGCCAGAAGCTCTGCAAATGTTTTTACATCAGGCTATCTGCCTTTAGCAGAAGCCACCCACTGAGGGATCGATTTAAAAGGGCCATATTGGTGGGGAGTATTCATTTTGCTGGTAGTGATGCCGTAGTAATAGTGCGAAGTGCAGTTCCCATCAAAGGAACCTCCGTTGCTAGGGAACTTACGCCTTCTCTTGGTCCAGCTTGGAGCTCTTTTCAAGCTGTACCTACGATGTACATAACATGTATTCAATAGTCTCGCAAGAGCCCAAGAGTGCAAAACATGTGGTAACAAACGTTACCTTTTGTTTACATTCGGAAATATCCACAAAAAAAGGTTTACATACATGTACACTGTAGATGTACACGCTTCATGTACACACACATATTCCGAAATTTGTATACTTGTGGAGACATGGCTTTGTTCTCCAGTACTAATTCGGTCACGTGTGAAATGATGTTTTCCCATTTCAACATGAATCACTCTCCTGGACTGAATGCCAGTTATACTAAACACTTTAATTTGGGACAGATTCTTACATATTAAACATTTCTCCTTTTTGAACAATTTCCAAATATCAGTTTTGTGAAATCCTCATGGAGACCTATTCACCTTAAGAAATTCCTTGTGCAGACCTACAAATGTACATATTCAACCCATTCTTCTGGGTCTCCACAAGGCACCATACATGTACTTCAGCACACTGGTGTACACATACACGTATTTAACAAAAGTACAGGTAGAGTACATGTACATGTGTACATGTAGCATATGATTTCTATTACAAAATGATCAGTTTGAATTGTGTTAGTTGTTTTAACGTACCTGTACATGTAAGCAAGGAGTACCATTTCCCCTCCTTATACCCTGTGTACAGTTTCAATCACACACTCTTCCATGTCTACATAAAACAAATTGTACACTGCTGACAAAAACTGAATGCACTTCATACAGGTAATGAAGAACCAAAGAAAACTCTGGTATGGTTAGAATGAAAAAAGCACGCTAGTACTGTACAAGCAACCCCTACATGTACATGTAAGCCTAGGGCTACTTGTACAAACCCAGCTCTACATGTGTATGATGTATGTAGCAGACTGGACTCATTTTCCCCAAATTGCACGGCAAAATTCACATACTCCTCACATGTAAAGTTTCCATGTATATGTATGCATATGCGTATGTAAACTTAAACTCAGATGAAAATTTGTTCACTTTTTGCAGAATTACACAAATGCAAAGGTTCAGAGATTAAAAGCAGAAGTGGGCTATGAAACAACCCTTCAAACAGAAAAAAATAGTTTGGTAGCCATTGGCTCCTAATGGGGAAAAATCTCGGCGCCAGCACTTTTATGAAGTTTAGTTATCACGTGTGCTGAATATTCATGAACGTACACTGTACGTAAACACATGTAGTATAAATACCCTGTGAATACATCGTCCATCCATGCCATAGAATCATGACCCGTCCAGCGTGGCAAGGCACACGTACATGTACACCACACAACTTGCATGTACATGTAATACACGAGTGCCAATGAGGTCAATCCATGAAATCAGGGTTCTTGCCAAGGGCTTCAGCCACGGACGTTATGATGTCCATAGTTTCAGCATGTCGTGAGACACCCTGCAGCATGAATCACGCTATTTCCAAGACTCTAAATCACAGCGACACCCTTTAATTCCAGCATGGGCTGTTTCAGGCCAAAAAAGCAGCAAAAAATGGAGTCCATGCCGTGGTTTGTAACATGGTCCTGGTGTCCGTATACAGTGCATCAACAATGTAGGTTTAGTTGGGAACCAACACGTACGTGTAATCACGATACATGTTCAGTATCGTATACGTACATGTACAGCGCACACAGTGAGCTTCAAATTCATGATGTGACTTGCGCTGCAATTTCTACTTTTCTGGAACGAATTTTGAGTACAAATCGGTTTTTTTTTTTATTTTTAAGCATAGGGCCTAACCCAACTCAAGGACATGCAGTTTTCTAGCTATCTTACATGTCTTACACGCCAGTCGCAAATGGCGACTGTACGGTGAAAATGTGATCGCATTAGCAAAACTTTGGTCATATTTTTGACTGATTAAGGCGCTATTTAAAGCATTGGCTACCGATATGAAATAAATTTATGTGTGTACAGTGTACTGGTACATGTATGCAATTGGTTCATTTCAGCAAACAGAGCCATCACGCAATGAAAATAAAAAAACAAACACACAATCATTCCATTCACTTCACAAAAGCTTCATATGTCAATAGATTACATTTATTTTGGATCATGCATTTGAAAGCAGCTACCGGTAGTACAAAAAAATGTACATGTGTGCGTGCGATGTACAAGTAACACAGAGAAAGGTCCAGTGCATACATGTATGTACACATGTACCGGTACAATGTACACGTGTGCATGTACATGTACATGTATGCGCAAGAGGAAATGCATGGCATGAGGTGAATCAGTAAGGTGCATAAATGCATAATATATGTAAAGACACAGGTGGTGACAGGAGGACTGGCTAATGTAACAATCTCTGGAATGACAAATCAACTCTACACAGTACAAGGCATTATTTGCAACATTAATAGGCACCTAATATCATACAAAAACATATGCAATATATATGAGTACAGCATTCTGCCAATGGCACATTCACCATTAAACCTTCCCTTTCCAGCATTCTACATATGTACACAAGGGAATCTTTCTATTATTAAGGGATTAGACTGCTGACATTTACATGTATCAGTGTCGTTCAGACAAACTCGGGTGCACAATTTCCTCATTCCTATGGCCCTTAACCCTGAAGGAGCTGGGCTTTTCAGAGGAGGGAGGGGTACATTTGGCTATCCCAATCTTTTTCAAACTTGAATGTACATTAAACATACTCATGAGTACTCTGTGAAGCCTACGGCCATTTGAAGTTCAGAACTCACACATGTATAGACTTTCTTGCATTGAGAGTGTTAATGGGAAAAATGACATTTTTGGCAGACCGTTCTCGGAAAAGTTGGTGTTTTGCAAGGACACAGGAAACCACTGGGACGAAATATCAGTTTGAGAAAATGACAGGGACATCAGGTGGTATATTCCACCTCCCCCCCCCCAGCTCTTGTTGGTGAAAATGTGCTGGGATAGAATTACAGGAGTCTGGGATGGACTGATTGCCTACATATATTTGACATACATGTACAGGTAAGGTCTTTGTCATCGTCTGAATAGAATTTATTTGAACAACAATGAATGTGTGAAAGTAGAGCTGTACATCAGCTAATACAAAATAATAAATGGCTTCTGAGAAATATGTAAAAAAAATTAAAAGCCTGTCACAGGAGGAATACCATAGCTGGATCTGACAGTACAGGTGGCAGCTGCATACATGTACATGTATATCACACAGCATGCTCAATTAATCAGCTTGGTCATAATCCTTGATTAAACACTCCATCCCTATCCTCAAGACCATGACAGTTACCCCTTCCAGTAGGAGCAAGGAGATAACATTGACTGATAATTACACAGGTTATATGTACATGTAACTGGCAGCAAGACAGGCCAAGGGGGGGGGGAGTCGGGAAGGGCTGACCAAAGTCCGACTACTACAGGTACATGTATTGGAAAAGAGCACATGTACACGTGCATGCATACACGAACACTTTGCAAACACACACTACAGGTGCAAATATGTATGTACATGTACATGTATGTACGTATGTTGACAAGCTGGTCAAGATCCATGAATTTGTAACAAATTTATTCATCTAATCTAAACTGCACAGCATTTAATTACGATTACAAAGCATGATGGACTTCTATACATGTACATCTGGTATTAAACGACATAATTTGTACCACAGGCACATTTTCCTTCCATTTCATTCGATTTGTTTGAGATTTTGGTCCTTCCCAAATGACTGAATTGAAACGAAGAACCAAACCTAACTTGGGTTATTATTTCATGAAGCATTTTATCACAAATATGTGCCGTACATGTATGTACATGTACACATGTACATGTACATGCATGCATAACAGCAGCCTGTTGACTTGACTGTGTATTAAAATTGTACATGTGTCGTCGAGTGCATTACAAATCCATCACAAGTACATGTAGGCCCTTAAGTCTAGCATCAGTAATAAGAAATGAACAATGAAGAACGTACAGTAAAGAAGGAATGGATTTTTCAACAGTCTGTGAGATGGATTTGCGATAGGCTTGTGTGTGCATGCTGCGATAAACTGACTAGTGTAATGCAAGAACCCTTTCAGCCCTTCCTGTGATGGATGTGTGATAGGCTTATAAATACTGTGATAAATTGAAAGCATTGCTCAAATGTACCCCGTACATGTAAATACAAGAACATACATACCGGTACTTAAGTTTGTACATGTTCGCTTTAAAGGGTTCTTGGAATGCACCTTCATTTTTAAAACTACATGTACATGTGTATTTACATGTATGAGGCATCTTGATGGATTTTTGGTTTCATAGTTACCAAAGTGCCCATGACGCCCCTTTGGGTATCCAGTACCACTAGCAACAGGTATCGCCATGGTTACAGGGGGGTCATTCCATGTCAATTCAACATGCTTTTGGACCTAACTGTCGCAGATTGAAATGAAATTCAGTGTGCCGATTGGATTCCTTGAGAAACTCCCACACCTGAAATTTTACATTAATTGGTCGGCTAGTTTTTGAGATACAGGTTAACAAAATTATGTACCACCGAAAAATTATGCAATACATGACCTTTGACCTTGATTTGCCAAAATGCATATACATGTAGAGGTGTCATACTATCTGAAATTGCACCAGGGAGTACCTAGTATCCAAATTAGCTCCAGACCCCACGACGCATGGGCATTTCACCATTACTGCTGCAGTTCACATTCCTTCTTTGGGGAAAATCTGGGATCATGCCCCCCCTTTCAGAAAATCCTGGATCCGCCCCTAGGTTGGACTCATTCAAGGGAGCAATAGACTATGATTGCACCATTCATACTGCTTCTTTATCATTTAAAGAAAATTGATCAAATCATTATAAGACAGAAGAAGAGTGAATGGATTGGTGGCCATGTACATGTGGTATTCCCATACATGCACATGTACCAAGTACAGTGTAATGAGGTATGAATGCCATTTAATGTTGGGTTTTTTCCCCGAAAAAGCTGCTGGGGACCTGAGTGTTTGTTGCAAATTATCTCTGGTGCCCCTAAAATACATGTATGAATGGAGACACAACTCATGAATTAGGGCATCAGTAGTTTCATTCTTTTCCCCAAATTCTTCTATTCAGTCGTTTTTCAACTGCCCCGGTAAAAATTGTGACGGGTGTCCATACATCAAATGGTTCACATACAAAAGGTCTGTAGCATACATGTACATGTATACATGTACAGTACGTGTTACCTGTGGCTATGTGTATTTTTTGCTAATTGTTTTGATATGAAGGAGTTGCTACTTGGAATTTTGTAACCTTATCTCCTTTGTATCATTTTGCTCTCTAGCAAATCGGTTTACCCAACAAAAGAGAGCTTTAATTCCCTTATGGTAGTTGTTTTGTGTAAGGTGTGGGCTCCCCAATTCAATTCTAATTACTCAAGAAAGGCATTTCCACTTAAAAGGAGCGTCCACATGTAGGATCATCTTCCTTGCTTTGACCAAACCAAGCACGATGCCTCAATACATCAACCACAGAAATGAAAGAAAAAAGAATTCTTAAATGAGTGCACACGTCCTCCGTGGAACAAATAAGGAAGATGGTACATGTACATGTTTACACATCATCAATCGACAAGTGATTAAAGGTCAACAGAAGGTTGTACATGTACTTACTTGAGATTGAAGTATGCAAAGGGTTATAAACTTCAATATTTGAAGAAACTTTCAAACCTAAAGTAATTCCATCAATAAATGAGCCAGATTTGCCTTCAATTGTTGGCGACTAGACACACATTCATAATGTATATATCCAATGGAAGACACGGGGCATGTTTGTTTCACATGGATCTCGATCAGTGATCTCAAAGCTGGCTTGTGCTTACCGTTAGGCAGGTATTGGTGACAGAGAATCCACGTTGGATCCACATGAAACAGTTTCGTAGCACAATTTGTGCATGCGCAATTTGTGGGCATGTGCTGCTAGTTCTGAGCATGCACACAACTGTGGAAAAGGACCATTACGTTCGCCGCCACCAAGTGTCTCAAAGGGCCTGTTTGTTTCACCGGATCATGATAAGTGATCCGTCATTGGTTCACAGACACCAGAACCCACCTGATGCTAACCCTCCTCAATCCCCCAAAATCCTTCAGGCAGTTTTGGAAGATTGAGGGTGAATGGCAAAAGTGCATGGTTGATTGCAAAGGATGACATGCATGAAGGTCGTGGGCTAGACCTTGTTTAAGTTTTGCTTAGTCATGCATAAAATCAGCCTGATATTTCTTTTGAATCAACCGCACTGCTCAAGAATGCCATTCGCACTGCCTCAACATAATGACAGGAATTGCCGGAGGATTTTGAAGGACTGAGGCAGTAGGCACACCTCCAAGTAACATTTTCAACAAAGTTTGGTGGATTTCGGAGGATTGAGAGAGAATCCAATTTTTTCAACCCCAAAATTGGATTTTGGAAGATTGGGGTGGGTCCCTAGCAAAAAAGGCCTAGGGGGTTAGGGCTAAAGCATGGAGCAAACTAGCATGGAATCAATGATTAAGATCCAGAGCAGTGTGAAACAAACAGGCCCAAAGTCTCCAATCATATGTGCATTTAAAAAGATGCACTGAAGCTGCAATTGGAATACTATAATCTGAAAACTTCATTTTTTTGACGGTGACTCCATGTAAGTGTCACACACATGTAAAAATGGTGAATTTTAATAAAATTGAGTGAGATAAATAGAAGTAGATGCATATATGTGCACTGCTTACCTCTTCCACGGTCAATGGTAGAACAATCCGACTGGATGAAAAGAAACAAACATTATGAGAAATTAAAGAATATGAACAAGTAAACTGTCACCAAATGTATGGCTGGAAAACGTACCATTAGATCTGCAAGTCTCAGTCCATGCATACTTCGAGGGAGACAGGAAAATGGGAACAACAGGAAATCCATTACAGAACACCTTACAAACTGATTTTGTTCATTTGGGAGAAGGGCCTTTGTTTTCCAAGTGACAACGTTTTCACGAACGCAACAATTCATGCATCTGACCAAGCTGCAAGTACTGGCGCCCTCATTTCTGGTTCTGACATATTGAAATGGACTGGGGGAGGGTACAGGGATCACATTCAATTCACAATGGTGCTATGTGTGAAATGGTCTCTGCAAGAAATTAAGCAATAAAATCATAAGCAATGATTAATCAAAATGACACTAAACTTTACCACAACTAAATAATTTGCGTCAAATCCTAAATTGGGTGCACTAGACAGTTTCAGGACTACGGGCCGGGGGGGGATTAAAGTCATAGAATTTTGATTCTGGGTACGACAAAGCTTGAACTATTTTGAGTGAAATGAATTCACGGAAGGGAAAGCCTATGAATGGTACTTGGACTCTAACGCCAAATGTTTAAAAAGGCGTTTTGTTTTAAAAAATTTGTAGAATCCAAGTTACTTGGACTACCTTGTCTTAAAAATTCCACCATTTATTTTCCACGCACACACGGGATCTCTGGTCTCAACAATCTCACGTACACAGGTCTATGATGTACTCGTGTGGCCATGATGGCAAGCCTTCCTTCCTTGAAAGTGCAATCTCATATGCATGGGGATAAAATGTACTGTGTCCAACATTGCCTGGCCTTAGCCCAGGTTGGACACCAGTCTTCATTACATTACAACTGATGTTCAAGTTCTGGGACTTCTGTATAAAATGACCAAAGTTTACACTAATTTGTTCTTGGTTTACCTTGTCAAAGAAACCAATATCATGTTTATATGTTCTTTATGTTTGTACATGTATCTTTCCGGCTGCGGGGGGAAGGGTAAAGGAACTGCAGAAAGAACAACAGACTGTAAAATCGAGGAAAATACATGAACAGACAATGTTGCAGTTTTTCATAGTTGTAGACGTAATGCATCTGTTCTCTAGCTGTAAAGTGCATGTATAGGAGTCAGCCTACTTTTATTTGCCTCACACGAAACAGCTAAAACCTTTCACATGATATTTCTGGAGTTCCCCCATAATCCTGAGTGCTTTTTAATTTTTTTGTCAACGTTTCAATTTGTCAATGTCGCTAAACATCTTTGTCAATGGGCTTCAAATTCATTGGCTTGCTTTGGTAGGTTGAAGTTAATAACCTTGTTTGAGCTCTGTCAAGAGGTGGATATTGGAGATAAATGTTGTATTAATAACTATCGGCCGATTTCCATTCTTCCGATTGTCTCCAAAACTCTGGAGAGAGCAGTTCACGATGTTTGTATTCATATCTTGATGTATGATTCCCCTTGTCAATATTTCAAAATAGGTAAATTTTTCAACATTAGGAGACATTGGTCATTAGGGAGACATTTCAATGTCTCCCTAATACTCCAACAACCAAAAGGAGGAAAATTTTTACTGTCCAAATTTTGAGAGATGATAGATTAGGGTCTGAAAGGAAAACATGCAAAGTTTAGTTAAGATCGGATTAGGGAATATTGAATTATGGGACGGTAAAGTTTGAAAAAATTTTGTACACGTTCCTATAGGAATGTCTCCCAAGTGACCCATTTTGGGTAATAAGAATGAAAGTTGTTTTGTTCACATGAATTTAAAGAAATCAGTACCAGATTTGGGTCAAAGTTAATTCGCAAAAGGCTTATTGCAGCAAATATGGCGGAGATTTGTACAAATTCAGCTTCCCGCAGCAGGAATATGTACTGTCACTAACACATGCCACAGCCTCACCCATGATGTTGTGTATACTCGGATTGAGAATCACATTGCACATGCTTTTTGCCTGTACAGTACGTAGCTCGGATTTTCGTACGATGAAGAGTTGCGCATGCACACTTGTATGAACTTGAGAACAATTTCTCGTTCCGTTGCTATGTTAATTTAAGCACCCCCATGGGGGCCATGTAAGTGAACAAAGCTTGAGGGGAACAAATTGTCTACAACAATGTCGCGAGCAGCCATTCGTCAAAATTTTACACAACATTGTTGTCATGAATTTGTTCTCCTCTGTTAAATCTTCTGAGCATGCGCAAATGAAACACGAAAAAAGGCTTATTTAATTAAGGCCAGAACATTACTTCCAACCTTTTTTTTCCTCTGTGGTAGTATGCGGAATTTTTCAACCCCAAAATTAAGGATTTGCAGTATGGCAGGCATGAAAAATTGGCTTCTTTTACAAGTAGATATGATGAAAATATTAGTTATAAGATATGTCGCCCTTTTAAGACCCTTCATTTCCTGGACTACCTCCGGAGTATGACCCTGCTAGACTTAGACGAGTTTTTTTTTTCTCCTCCAGATCTATACATACATGTAAAAATGATGTAGTCTATGGTATGATGAGGGGAGTCCACGATTCACCTGGGCTACGTCACGTGCATTCCCAACTCGAAACAACACTTCTCTAAATTTGCCACACAATAATCCCAGGATCGATGAATACTGAGAATAAAATGTAAAAACGTGATCTTAATACTTACTACTCTCTCCTTAAAACCATGTTTGGGGTGACTGGGAAACAAACGTGTACCTAAATTTTTAGCGAGTCTCACGAACGGGGAGTAAAGNGGGGGAAGGGTAAAGGAACTGCAGAAAGAACCACAGACTGTAAAATCGAGAAAAATACACTAACAGACAATGTTGCAGTTTTTCATACTTGTAGACGTAAATGCATCTGTTCTTTAGCTGTAAAGTGCAAGTATAGGAGTCAGCCTACTTTTATTTGCCTCACAAGAAACAGCTAATACCTTTCACAAAATATTTTTGGAGTCCCCCACAATCCTGAGTGCTTTCTTATTTTTTAGTCAATGTTTCAATTTGTCAATGTCCCTAAACATCTTTGTCAATGGGCTTCAAATTCATTGGCTTGTTTTGTAGGTTGAAGTTAATGTTCTTGTTTGAGCTATGTCAAGAGGTGGAGATGGAGATAAATGTTGTATTAATAACTATCGGCCGATTTCCATTCTTCTGATTGTCTCCAAAATTCTGGAGAGAGCAGTTCACGATGATTTGTATTCATATCTTGATGAAAACAGTATGATTCCCCCTTGTCAATCAGGCTTCAGACCCTTGCATTCACCAGAGACCACTCTGCATGGACTGATGAATAATTGTCTTCACGCCATAGAGCTCACCAAAATTACTGGTACTGTATTCATTGACTTGAGTAAGGCCTTTGATACAGCAGATCACAGTATTTTAGTGGAGAAGCTACATTCGATGTCTTTGTCAGCTTCGGCTATCACTTGGTTTAGGTCCTATCTTGCCAACCGCAAACAGTCTGTCTGCATAAGAAATTGTTGCTCCGAGGCTCTCCCTCTCAGAACTGGCCTTCCACATTTTGGGACCCCTGTTATTTATAATCTATACCAGTGATATATCTCCATGCTTCCCTAAAAACTGCCGGCTGTACATGTACGCGGACGACTCAACAATAACATGTAGCTCCTCCACCCGAGACGAAATTGAGCATAGCCTCAACACAGCCATGGCTAATATCTATGATTGGGCCGTCCAAAATAAGTTGATAATTAATGCTGCCACAACCAAGTCTATGATTATCTGCTCAAAACAAACGATCACCTCTACTGACCTTAACATTGTTATAAATAGCGATATAGTTGAACAAGTCACCTCCTATAACTTGTTTACATGTAGGTGTAATAATCGACGAAACACTCACATGGTCTCCCCATGTTGATTATATTAAAAAGAAATTTCCTCCAAACTAGCCATGTTAAGTAGAATTTGCCACAACATCCCTAAAAGCAGTCTACCGGTACATACTTTAGTTCAAACTTATGCATTACTGACTTTGGATTATTGCAGTACTGTTTGGGGAGACCGTTACCATGCACACTGTGAGTTGAACAGAATGTTGAAAAGAGCTGCCAGATTAATTCTTGGTTGTCCATACCAAACTGCTTCTACTGATATGTTTAATGAACTGAAATGGTCAAGTTTTGCCGATAGGATTTGTTAAAAAAAAAAAATTCTAGTGTATAAGTGCATGTACCATTTGTGTCTAGAGTATATGGCAGAGCTATTCTCCAAATGTACTAACAGCTGCACAAGGCAAAATAATAACCTTGCTCTGAAGGTTCCCTTTGCCAAGACGGAAAGCCTGCGCTCGAGCTTTGCTGTTTCTGGGGCTAAAATGTGGAACGATCTACCCAATACTCTCAGACAAATTGAGTCTCTTCCAGTTTTTAAAACTGAGCTTTTTCAACTATTGTTTACATAATACACATGTTCCTATATTTGTGCCTTACTCTCTAATTTTATTTTCATTAATATATTACTCGATGTTTTACTCTTTGTATTACTTGTACAAAAGAGCAAAACATCGAGTAATAGATAAAATAAAAATAAAAATAGAGAGTAAGGCACAAATATAGGAACATGTGTATTACGTATCAAATATGCATGGCATGTACATTGTCATTTCTAATTTACGTATATTTTATATTAGTTTTGTTATTGTGATTTTATGTTGTAATTTAGTTTTAATACTTTTAATGTTTTTAACTGAAACACACAGGGCCCGAATGGAAACCAATATGTTTACTGATTTGGCTCACCCTAAATAAATAAATAAATAAATAAATAAATAAGAAATTGGGCAGTGGATCCCTTAAGCTAATGATGTACCCTTTCAAAAAGTCTACAAATGTGAACGGCATTATTTAAGGCTCAAGGGATCATGGTTAATCGTCATAATTGACAATCATAACCCAACAGTCTAGTTCATTAAAAATACAAAAATAAGTCCTAAAATCGCTCACGATAGAATTTGCCAACGCCTTGTTAGATCATGCCAGGAGTCACCAAAACTTTTATCGCATATTGTGCACAACTTTTGATGGTCTTTTTTAAGTCAACCAATGGACACATTACACCAAGGCTTGCAATGTACATGTAATAAGCCATTTTCGAATTAAATTTGAATAAAATCTTGTGCACTGAGTTATCTGACTGCACATAAACATAACAATTGAATTCCCCAGACTTAAAGACACTGTTGCTATACCTCGTGATTCGGGGCAAGCTTTCGAATAGCGACCACTATTTCTGGAATGGGCTGGTTCCTTTGTGCCCTTCTTTTCCATTGAGAACAGTGTATTGTTGCAAGGCGTCTCTTATGTAACTAAGCAAAAACTTGCCCTGAATCATGACATACATGCAAGCAACAGTGGTTTTAGTAAGGAGAATATTTCCAAATAGGTCACTTGGGAGACATTTTGTGGTAAATTTTTCAACATTAGGAGACATCAGTCATTAGGGAGACATTTCAATGTCTCCCTATTACTCCAACTACCAAAAGGAGGAAAATTTTTACTGTCAAAATTTTGAGAGATGATAGATTAGGGTCTGAAAGGAAAACATGCAAAGTTTAGTTAAGATCGGATTAGGGAATATTGAATTATGGGACGGTAAAGTTTGAAAAAATTTTGTACACGTTCCTAAGGGAATGTCTCCCAAGTGACCCATTTTCGGTAATAAGAATTAAAGTTGTTTTGTTCACGTGAATTTAAAGAACTCAGTTTACCAGATTTGGGTCAAAGTCAACTCGCAAAAGGCTTATTGCAGCAAATATCACGGAGACTTGTATAAATTCAGCTTCCCGCAGCGGGAAAATGTCACTAACACATGCCACAGCCGATTGTAGGTCAACTCCCCCCTGGCCGACTCGCCCCTTACCAGCTCGCCCCTTACCAACTCGCCCCCTGACCGACTTGTCCCCTAGCCGACTCGCCCCTTACCAACTTGCCCCCTAGCCAACTCGCCCCTTTACCGACTCGCCCCCNAAGTCGGTCAGGGGGCGAGTTGACACAGCCTCACCCATGATGTTGCGTATACTCGGGATTGAGAATCACATTGCACATGCTTTTTGCCTGTACAGTACGTAGCTCGGATTTTCGTACGATGAAGAGTTGCGCATCCACACTTGTATGAACTTGAGAACAATTTCTCGTTCCGTTGCTATGTTAATTTAAGCACCCCTATGGGGGCCATGCGAGTAAGTGAACAAAGCTTGAGGGGAACAAATTATCTACAACAATGTCGGGAGCAGCCATTCGTCAAAATTGTACACAACATTGTTGTCATGAATTTGTTCTCCTCTGTTAAATCTTCTGAGCATGCGCAAATGAAACACGAAAAAAGGCTTATTTAATTAAGGCCAGAACATTACTTCCAACCTTTTTTTTCCTCTGTGGTAGTATGCGGAATTTTTCAACCCCAAAATTAAGGATTTGCAGTATGGCAGGCATGAAAAATTGGCTTCTTTTACAAGTAGATATGATGAAAATATTAGTTATAAGATATGTCGCCCTTTTAAGACCCTTCATTTCCTGGACTACCTCCGGAGTATGACCCTACTAGACTTAGAGGAGTTTTTTCTCCTCCAGATCTATGCATAGTCTATGGTCTGATGAGGGGAGTCCACGATTCACCTGGGCTACTACGTCACGTGCATTCCTAACTCGAAACAACACTTCTCTAAATTTGCCACACAATAATCCCAGGATCGATGAATACTAAGAATAAAATGTAAAAACGTGATCTTAATACTTACTACTCTCTCCTTAAAACCATGTTTGGGGTGACTGGGAAACAAACGTGTACCTAAATTTTTAGCGAGTCTCACAAACGGGGAGTAAGGCTATCGGGATGTACCGGGTATGACGTCATTGTACGGCCGAAACATAACCGTCAGGTTGCCATGACCATTTACCTTGCCACACAGCCTTGGGAGACAGGGAAATACGACTACGTTTCCGCCAATAAGAGTGGGTTTTTCTAAACCGTGGTTTTGTAATCATTTCGCCTCCTCCTAATTTTTAACTTCAGATGTTTTAGCAAAATAAATTCCCGTCTTGCTGCTGAAGCTTAAAACTGTGTGCAAATGATACGGATTTGGATATATTTCTATAATGATTTAATACATTAGGCTGCGAGTAGTTTCACTATTAAGGGCGACACATTGAAACAAATCCAAAATTTAAAAAACTTTTTAAATGGTCTCCACTGTGTTTTTGCGTATTGAAATGGATAGTCTTGGTTCCAAGACCTTCCAGTAGTTATTCCGCGACTCGCGCTCGAACAACGCACGTACTGTACACTGTTAGAGGGCGCTATCACCACACGAATAGTTCCCGGCCCCGTGATAACGATTCGTGAGGTGATAGCGCCTGAGCGCCTACTGGGTGCATGTACGGTGTATGTACATTGTACATATAGGTCGAGTTTGAGCGGCCTGTTCTAGACGCGGGTTTCGTGTTCTCCTGCTCGAACGGGAACGTGACCCATGAACACTGTCTCGGAACACGATCACACACCATGTCTTCATCAGGGTTTTAAACAAACACACGGAAAATTTCGTTAGATTTCATTTTTTAAAGACTGCAAAACTATCGAGATGGTTTACAAAGCTGGAGACAATAGAAAATTTTGCAAGATTAACATTAATTTCTAGAAAATCTTCAGTTCATGGTGCTTTTTTTTCTTGAAATAAACAGTACTTCCATGATTTAAGAAACAGTTTCTATTTTTATCATAGACCAGAATAAAAAAATGGAGATTGATGATCAAAATTGTTTAGGGAGAGTTAACAAGCAAAGAGGATATGAATATGGCGATATCATGTCTTAGCGATAGATTACCCTTGCCTGGTAGTCATGGTAGTAGGCATTGCTGCTTTCAACCAGCCTGAGCAGTATGACGTGTGCGTGATGGGCACTCATGCATGAGATAATGAATGCGTTTGGGACCAGTATTTTGGTAATTTCACTAGAGTAAGTCATTCTTCAAGAATGTCACTCAAAGCCATAGCTCTTAAAAAATAAAGGTGAATCAACAAACCGTATAAAGCTGTGTCCTTGTTGCTGCTGATTACTCAGTTCAAGTTCTTCCTAAAATTATGGCATCATACAATTCTCACCGAGTCTTGGTGCTTTTCTCTGATTGGTCAATTGGTGACTGTTCCATATTTCACTCTTGGGATGCAAAAGGCAAAAAGTCACTGATGGGGAAACTGACTTAACTCTTAACCTTTGCATCAAATATGCCTGAAATTTCACTGTGGACGCGCTTTGAACGTATCTCCCTCACTATCCCCGAATTTCATTTCTATGTTGTAGCAAACAATGAGGAAAACATGCAAATTTCTGTACAAAGTAAATGGAGGCCGGGTTGCCCCCATACCCAGACAGTGAGTGTAATCAATGGAACAAACTCCAACCAAGTGAATGGCGTACATTTTGGGTCAAGGGGAAGAACTTGGATTGAAAAAAATAAACAAAAAGACACCAACTTCTTTCATCAAAATTCTCAATCCATGGCAGTTGCATTTAAGTGTCACAACTTCCAATACTTTAACTTAGAAAAAACTTGTCCCCCCTATATCCCACTGCATCACTGCAGGTGGCACCACTTCTTTTAGGGCTCATTAAGTTGGCTTTGAATTGACTTCATTGTAATTTTCCAATCTGCACAACCATCTGCACCAATTCATGTGAATAAATTAACACTAAAACAAAAGCTGCAGAATTGTCACTGAATCCAAACCCTTGGTGTGTGAGCAAGCATTGACGGGGATTTCAAAGAGGGTTTTGCAACACCCTCCAGGCGTCGCTAGATATTTTGGTGGCTATAGGGAGGGGAGCTGTCCCTTTCGCTACATTTCCTGGCTCTTATCTGTAGAGTGCGGCCAGTGGCCAAGACTAAGTGAAGCAAGTGTGGATACAGAGCAAATGTTTTATAGGAGGGTGTGAAATTCTCTCATTTTTTTCAACAACCAAAAAATTGATGGGGAGGGAAGGAGGCCCTTGTTGGTCCCCTGGATCAACCAGCGGATGGAAGGTATTCATTACCTAATTTTTATCTGTTCAGTGTGACGACAATTCAAAATCGAAAAGGGTCAAAACTTCAAAAGGCAGGGAAACATGTCAATCAATGTTGACCAAAGAAAACCAAACCAACTAAAGCTCAATCATCATTCAAATATATTCATTTTTGCATTCTTGCAAAACAAAATGAACAGCAAGGTTAACTTTAGTTGGCAAGTCCAGCACGTCTACGCACTTGTAGAAAGATATGCTGGTCCCATCCTCTTTTTCATCTTTTTGTTTTCAATTGCACAGGCCTATCCTACGCATTATAACTAGTCAACTTCTTTTTAACATTTTTGTTCAATTATAGGAAAATTCCTCACAATCGATATCATCATAAAGTATAGAAACTGAACTGAAAATATGTGGCAAAGAAAACACCCTAGATCTCTGAAAATAAAAACAATTAGCAATTGAAAGCTTTACATGGCACATTCCATATTTATTACAAACAAATCTGTGAAATATTCCAAACAGCTACATGCTGAAAAATTGATGAATGATACATGCTGAAAAAAAAATGACAGAGTTCAGGTGTGAAAAACTTACACAACACTATGATATGTTGAGTTATAAATATCGTTAGGGGGAGTTTATAAATAAAATAAATGCTTTTGAAATCAAATTTCAAGCATAAAGAATCCATTTTAGATGCAATTTTCCTCCTTTAAATGAATACGTATTTATGTATTTTGGCGATTCTTGTGAATACTTACTTGATTTCATACATTTATATCTGTATTCAAGCAGAATAGGGTCCTATCAGTTTTTAACCTTCTCTTTGGAGTAATGGGGGTGAAGACATGAAGAAATGATCAGTTTTAGAGGTGGGAGGAAAACACTGAACACCAGAGAGAGAAAACCCAAGCAGGGACTGAAAAGCGAATCCCTATGTTGGCCTGGGTGGGATTTGAACCCTGGGCCACAGAGGTGAAAGGTGAAGATAGAACCGCAAAATATTGCTGGGCAATATGAACAACACCAGCCGGGAACCGGTTGTACACTAAAAAGAAAAGATGCATTTTGGCTGGTAATCTGCATTTGTCTGCTGAATGGCTCAATGAAATAGAGCTTTGTTCAAGGGGAGTTTCTACACATTTAAATTTTTTCTGTATTAAACATCAGTAATAGGTCCTTCCATACTTGGGGGATGCATCATCAAAACTGCTTTTGGCAAATTTTGCTTTCATAATAAGATAACAATAAATAGCAAAAACACTACATAAACATACAAAGAATCCGAAAAGTATCTACATTTGATAATATGGGTGATTCACAATACATGTAGTGCGCCTCCCTGAGTTTGCACCGCGTTGACCCATCACAGTGCATGAAATCTGTCGACCCTTTCCAAACGCACATTGGGTCGACAGATTTCGCGCACTGTGATTGGTCAATGCATTGCAAACTCTTGAAGGCGCACTTTTGTGAAACGTCCGTATTGAGTTCCATAAACAAAACTGGCATTTTGACGTACGTTACATTACTACAACAATGTGCACATCTGCATCCTTTAGCTTTTAGCAAATGATGGCTTACAAATGGAAGAAAGAGCCAAATAAAACAAAGTGTACAGTAACAGCAAATCAACACTCATTTCCCAATGTGCACCGAACCAAACTTGCGTATTAAGTTTATCAGCTGAGTAGTTTCAATTACCATGTTACTGTATTGAAAGTAACTACAACTAAATACCATGAATGATGGCATCCCCAGAGCTTGTGTGATGCTCATCCAAGCGCTTTGTATTTCATCGAAATTCTGGTTTACAGACAACTCAAACAGTTCTCTCTCGCCATGATTTGTTTACTGAAAGTAACACACAGTCACAGCACTAAGATTCTCACCTCATTCCCCAAGACTGTATCCCAACCTACTTAGTTTGGAGTTGACTGACTTCAGCGGTCTACATTAGCTGTTTGACAAAGATGACATTCCACAGGTGACAGATTCACTTGGCAAGTGACGCATGTGCTGGTACGAGGCTGTCTAGCTCCCTCTTGTGTCCACTTTCTTCCAACCAAACCTAACAAAAACAAGAACACATTAAGAAGGCAAAACATGATGACTGAGCATGAGACTAAGTTTTTCCCTATTTTATTTACTTTTTTTTTTGCTAAATGCTTCTTTTTTGGGGGGCTAAATGCTTCATAATCCTTTTCCCTACAAGTAAACAAGCATTTAACCCTGAAAAATATAAAGATATAAAATAAAAGATAGGTGTTCCACACTTGTGGTTTACAATGAAATGATGTCATGAAATGTCCACAGTAACCATGACAACTAATACTTTATTTTGATAACCACAAGGTTTAGTATATATGTATACATTTGTTGAGTGCAGAAGGGCATGTGATCATTTTTTACACAGCTGTTAATACAACAGACGGTTTAATTACTTCTCTCTGCCAGGCACCCACCAGACAAAAAGGAATTGCAGTTTTTCAGTCAAAAAATGAATTTCCCCTTGGACTGAAAATTGTAAAAGGTTACCACGAGTGCTTGTCAACATTCCATCACAGTTATTATTCTGGGTGTCTGCACGTGGATTACACACAATCTTTGGAAAAGCCATTGGTCACTTAAAACCTGCAGTGGCACATCTTCTCAAAATCTTACAAGGATGCTCTCCGATTGACCTTATTATCTGACACTGGATGTAGCTTCAGGGAAAGCACAAATTTTTGCAAATTTTCTTTATTTTTTGGATCTCCAATGTACCTACATGTAGGTTCAGTACCGTCTGGGCACATGCATGGGAAACAACAGAGGTCATACAGGTATGCCCTGATCCATTCTCATAATCAAAATCAAAATGTTAGTTTTACATTACAATGGCCATCCACAAGGGACTTTTCCCGTTTTGTAAATCTGACAGTGTAATTCTTCCCTGACCCTAATGGCCCTATAAAACTTCTGCTGCCGAAGATAAAACTAGCAACTGACATTTGATACTTAGACAATTATGACAGTTTACCACCTTTCCACATTGAATTAAATTTTTGTCTATCTGCAAAACAGTCTCTGTTAGTTTTACCAAAAAAGTCCAAGGCAAACACAACTTAAATCCAACGTAAGCACGGCTTAAGATTTAATTTTGAGAGCAAGCCTTGTTGAATGAATGCCGAGGCATTCTGGGAACAAACTAATCTCCTTTGTCACCTGAAATCTGCTCTCTACCAAGGTCTGAAACTGTTTGCGTTTGGCCGTGGGCAAGCCCGCCTCCTTTACCATCTGCAGCCAACCCTGGATCTGTCGGTTCCTTTCAGTCAAAGTCCTCTCAAATCTTGCTGGCAACCCTCCTGGTATCTCCTGTACCAGAAACATTGACAACGGACACATGGCATGATTCACGTTCATTCTATAGTCTTGTCTTTATCTTTTTCCAATGACCACAACTTGTCTTTTGAAGCACTGCTTAATCTTTCAGTCTATGTTTGTTATAACAAGGTTGCTGGGTCTACCAAAGTTACCTTGTTATAACCAGAAGCAAACCGAAAGAATTCAGGAGCCTTGGGACTTCAGAATTTGCTCCTCATAACAGGACTTTGTGATAAGAGTACTCTTCATAACTAGAGTCCACTGTGTTTCTTTTCTTGCACTTATGCGTGACACACAGATCAAGTTTAAATTCAAACATGTAATGTCTAGGAAACTGGTTAAATTCAAGAACTCTAAAATGACGGATTAATTGGTAAGAAATTTTGTGGACACATATATATATGGGCTTGTGAAAACTTTAATCTTAACCACTTGATGCCAGGGAGCCCGGTTTCAGGCACATAGGCTTAATACATGAAACCGGGGAGCCCGAAACTGGACAAAAGAGCTGGGCCTTGTAACAAAAGACAGTACTTGGAACAAAAGACCGAGCTGCTAGGAATTGCCAACATTTTTTCAATTGTCAGTAGCGGAGGAAATCCATCGAAATTTTGAGAGATTATACCAGTTTGTGGCATTCAGCACAAGCGGATTACCACCAGGGACAAAAGCGCTCCAGTGATGAGGGATATAATACCGCTACACGGTAATCTGGCCCCTATTGAAAAGACGCCTGTAGTGCATTGTGCCAAAGGAAAGTTACATAACACTGCACAATCTGGGCCCCTTTTTACAAAGCGGCAGGCCTGGCTGAATCACTCGGGCATCAATAGATGTTGTCAGTCAGATTAGAGTAGTCACCAAACAGTTATCAGTGTGGGTATAAACATACAGTAAATGAAGCTATGATTTTTTGAAGAATTTTAAAAACGGAAAGTATTGAAAATCTCCCAGTTTTACGTCATGCAACTTCAAATTCCACCCAGCAGCAAGTGGCTAATTAACCAAAGTCTTCTAACCCAAGTAAGGAAGTTATGGTTAATATTCCAATTCAAAAACTTACTGTTGTCTCTCCTTGCATCTCAAAGGGAACCACAAAAGTGAAGAAGTCTTTGGGTTTCATCAACTCATATACTGGGCTGTCTTCTTGATGGTCAGGTCCTAAGTATCATGAGATTTTCAAAACATACAACTGTTCTCTAAGCAACCAGGTTCCACAAAATTTGTACTTATAACTAGAATTATGCATAGATCTCTCTGAAGTTTCTCACTGAGCTACTTTCTGGTTGCTTTATCTTGATTCATGATTGCTCAAGTGTTCCAACTGTGGAATAAGACTTATAATACTGGAATGATATACCACAATAATGTAATCTTTTTCACTTTTTCGTTTGACTTTTGGTTATTCATGAAATATGTTGAGAGACTTTCGGTGACATTTAACGTGTTCAATTATGATGTATACAGTTATCCGCACCAGTTTAGGCCAGTTCATACTTGGCACAAAAGGTAACTCATAGGCTTAAGCTAAGATTGAGGAAAACAGTTTAAAAACAGTAAAAGCTATCGTGAATTTAAAAATTATTATCTTCAAGAAAATGTGTATTGTAGGTCCTGATTGGTCGATCCATGGCAACAACAGAGTTGTGCTATACCATACTGCAAGGTCCACGGTATTCTAAGTACCGCACTAAATTCTGAGCCATGGGCTACCCTAAACTCATGTGAAATGCATCAATGCACAGCAAGTGCAACGTTGTAAATTAGAAGTGGCATATCTGCGTCCAGTGTTGGTCACTGTGTGTTTAGGCACCCATCCAGTACAGTTCTCCCGGCCAATTAAATCTCTCCTTAATTTCAAGATGGAGTACGTAAAGAGGTTCATCAAAAAATGATTACAAACCACTCTGCTGCAGAAATACTTGATTTAAAAATGTGGAAAATTCCAGTACTTGTTAACTGTCTTCTTAACCACTTGCGAAGAACACTATTTTTATTATTTTATTATTTTTATTAGTATTATTTTGGGCAGAAAATTTCAGTTCAAAAAAGGCAAGATATGGTAGTCAACTTGTGATAGCCAGCCAAACGCCACAAATACTTATATGCAAGAGTCATTTTTCAAAACTCCCTGGGGCGCGCCTCATAACAATATTTACTACCACAACAGGAAGTGTACAGCAGCCAAGTTCAACACAGGGTCTACTTTCACGGACTTCTTGGACTGTATGTGTGTGTACAAAACAAAGGGGGATTAGCATGTTTAGACATCATCCTGGGGTGTGTTGAGGCAAGCTTGACACTTTAAGCCATCAGCCATGCCTGTACTACAGACAGCCAGGTCATGTTTACACCATGGTGCGAAAAGGGTCAAAATGTCTGGTTTCACGCAGAGTGTGCATGCTCCATCTTTACTGTACATCAAGTTTGCATGAAGGTAAATTTAGCATCTCAGCAGCCTGAGCGGAACACAGAATACGTTATGCATCTGTGTCATGTACACCACCCAAGCCCAAAAGTGATGTTTCACTCACCAATGCAAAGGGGTTGATCCCAATCATTGGGGTGCTCACTAAGCCCCACCTGGGCCATATGCTGCTGCAGCATGGGATAGTGGGTGTGGTATGGAGCAAGGGTAATGGAGTCGTTCCCACCCAGTAGGAGTGGCCTCGTGGGTGTCAGTAGATGAAGGGTGCAGAGAGTCGAACCACTGGAGATGGAAACCAGAGACAGGTTGTTTGCACTGTAATTTTACATGTGATGCTGTAAACCCGTTTGCAGTAGCAGTGTTTGCTGCCGGTGGCTGGCAAAAATATGATTGGCCGTTGATACAAAAAAAAGACTAACGTATAACATATTTTTGAAAATCTGATGAAACTATTAAAATATTAAATAATAAAAAGAGTTGCGTTAAAGTCATCAAGCACAGGCAGTGAGTTCCACCGATGGAACGATGCTGATTTATAAAACCATGCCATCTGATGTTCCAATCACAGCAGATAAATATTCAGTTTTATATCCAACTTATTTTTAATGAAATCCAACTTTCTGTAATATTTCTAGTCAGTACTGTCAATTCTATAAAACTCTACAAAAACCGCTGTGACCTATGGCAGTTTTTCCTGGCATGACATTTTATCAAATGAAATTTGTTGTGGTTGGTAATTCTGCCTGTGTCATGCTAATTCACCTACTTGAGAGAAAAATTTAAGAGTATCTCTAAGGAAAACACATTTTCTCTGATTTTATCTGTTCAAATAAATATGGAAGCATCCAAATTGAATGCAATTTCATTGGTCTTCTGAGATCAACTGTAACAATGTCTGGCATGCACAAGGGTTTATCCACTACCAACACTGGGCAGGGGTTCCCTTCGTTTTCTCTGTTTTTCAGAATGACGTAATCTACATTCAGAATTCGCATCTTTAAACCCAACCCTCATCCTTGCTCAACAGTTAGATTACAACTGAACTCACCTTACGCTACACCGTCGGCAAGCTGTGATGACTTTGGTATCCTCACATCCACTCAGATGTACTGTGGTATCCACGGCACCAAGCACAATGGTGGAGTGGCGGCATTTTTCTATGCTCACAAACCTAGCAGGATGTACAGAAATTGATTTCAATATCCATGAACTTATTAGTCAAGTTATTAAAAGGAACGCATCATGCCCCTTCCTCTTTCAAGTCTGGGTAATAGCTTTGCAGACATGTAGTCAGACTGCATGTGAACACAATTCCTCAATGTCAATCTAACAGCTGAAATGATGAAAATACCGTTACATCACAGTAATCCTTGGTGGAAAATATGGGATAACACAATACCTGAACAAATTCAATTCAATTGATGGATTGTTGATATGTCACTAAATTAATCATCCAATGCACTGCTTGGTCCATTCTAACAGTAAATGGAAGTTCCATTGCTTGGTCACAAGACATATTAAAATTCATAGGTGGTACAAGGATTTATTACGACAGGGATTCATTCAGGTAATGCAATTATCTATTTAGGGAATGCAAAAAGAGTAATGAATATATCACATTCAAGGATTGGAATGAACAGTTTAATTCAGTGAAAGAGGAATGTTCTGTCCTACTTTACTTTTCCCTATGGAATGGAACATTCCATCCATCTCATGAAATATTCTTACCACAACAACAATAAACATTCATTATTTGCATTGCGTCCCTTTGTGCTTACTTGAGGGGTGACAATAGGTAGATAAAGGAATGGTGACATCTGTGAACTTTGACCCGAGCATTGACAAGAGTAGAGGAGCTCTGTAAAACGAAGAGGGACAAATTTAAAGACATAAATCTGCGATGTGAAATTGTCTTCCTAGATTAACAGTACCAAAACAAACCAGATCAGCAAACAGTCCCAACTCAATAAAGTCATAGCTCAAATGCAGTGTTAGAAACCGACACACACGTGACCAAGTCCTGACTACAGCATGCATTTTTCCATTGACACTGAGTTCAAGGCCAACCAACTGGTATTCCTATTTATTTACTCAAGTCAACTTACCTGAGTCACACATGAGCCTGATTCCCTTGTCAATCCCCATTCCATGGGCTGGGTCCATAGTTTTAATATTTCATGGGCTAGGTCCATAGTTTTAATATTTCATGGGCTGGGACCATAGTTTTAATATTCCATGGACTGGGACCATAGTTTTCATATTTCATGGGCTGGGACCATAGTTTTAATATTCCATGGGCAGGTCTGTAGTATTAATACTTCAGGGACTGGATTCATGATTACAATACACGTATTCCATTCACAGGGATTCTTGTCACAAGTTTTATCCCACTAAATATGGAGTGACCATTTACACATTCAAAGTAACCTGCAAAATAAAATCTATATCTCTGGGAGATCCCACACTCAAGATGAAAACATTTGAATGGAAATATTTCCAATTTAATATCTTTGGACTCTTTCTCTGTGTAGAGACTATTTGATTTCAAATTAGATATTTCTATCAAAACTAACCTTTGCTAGGGTCTGTTTGCAGATCTGTGATAATATCACCAATTTGTTTCTGAAAGAACAATATTGTCATGACTGAACATAAAATTGATACACAGGGATTCAATTCAATTTATAAACCATCTGATTCTTTGCAACAGTAAGTACAGTTGTGAAGTGTTGGTCAGCATATACAAGTTGTTATTCCCTAAATCTGCACCATTGTTTCTTACTTTGATGGCGCTTTCTGAGCATTGGTAGCCATGCGGCCTCTCTTCACTGCATCTCCATCACCGCCTGATATCAATACAAAGAAAATGATCGGTCAAAACAAGTGACACTGATGGATAAACCCACCAATGGCTGATCAGTAGTTGATTCAGTGTGTACCATCAACTTGATCACACATAATAGTCTGTACGATCCCACACCAATCTGAAGTCAGTCATGACCAGAAACCTCTCACTCCGAGTTCCTTACTTCACACTGCAATATTGCCACTATTAATAACCAGCCTAACACAAACAGTCAAGTAAACTAGGTCAAGGGCCACTGTCTAGTAAATGTCTGATTAAAATTAGCCAACAGGGATTGACAAATGTTCTCAACTAAATGTGCCAGAGGACTGCTTCAAAGATAAGTGCATGGTTGGATGTCTCTGTTAAGAATGCAAAATTGGTCTAGCACAGTTTGATTTCATCTATTAAGAACGTAAGTGTACATGCAAACTTCATGATACATTTACTCTGACAGTGCATTCCAAAAGAAGAGACATCTGCACATTATCTCACCTGCAGTAGGCCAGGAGAGTCTGTGCCCAGCCGAGATACATGCAGCTACACCATATGGATTGGCCACCAGACTAGTTCGGATCCAAGACTCAAACGTGCGACAGGTAAAGGCCAGTGTGATCTAGAGATGCCACAGCAAATCAAATTGAACACGTTGACAAACGGTTACCTATGCAAAATTACCCAACCAATATGCAGTACACATCCACAACAAATCAACAACAGTAGGTACTGACCGAGGGGTGGTGGACTACACTAATACTTCCTGTAATGATGCAAATCACATGTTGGGATCACAATGCAACATGCACCACAATATGTATCACGTCAGACTTACATTGCAGCAGTTAAAGCACCTGTTTGACATGTACCTCTTTGTGTTGTGCATGCGCACTAGCTTTGAACTTTCTGAGCTTTCCAACTCCACAAAATTGCTACTTAAAAAAACTATTTTTTCGTTTTCAACTTTTAAATGTAAAGATTTATATTTCAATTTCTAATATCTGTTTGCAACGGCAAGATGTGTTGTCCATAAATTTGGTCCTTTAGAGCTTGTAAGTTTATTCAGTCATACTGTTCTGGCAACTCTCTCATTGATATATCGATAAACAATTGTGTAACCCAGCCTCTACTTCCAGCCAACCTCGAAGCTGACAGAGACTTCCATTCTGAAGAGATTTTTTTCTGTTGTGTAATTATATCGGACATACAAGTACAACTGATTTTAAACATACATTTTTCCATCAATGGGCATGTTTCCATGGATTCAATTTTGCCCATAAACTAATCTTGTGATTGCTTTCAGGACAATAACTTTTACCAAACAGTAAGACCATGGCTTTGACATACCTTTGAATAGCCACTTTTAAGTTGAATGCCCTGTGTCTTGGCTAACTCATGAATAGGTTTGACTGTCCTAGGAACGAATAAAACACAAATAAAGACACGGACGAAATTCAACGATGTACAACACCTACCCCTTTAATGAAGTTTTAAGTTAGGTTTTTCCAAGCGAACTGTGGTGAGTCAGGCCAAATTTTTTGGTAGATGTTGTAAGGCGAAATGGTACTTTGGGTAAGTGCACAATGCTCTTAAAGCAGAAAGATGCAGATGTAAACACCTCCATTTTTTCCAATTGTTCAATTATTCATTATTTTCGAATGAATGTATTTCATATTACAAGGACTGTAACTGACACAAACCTGTTGCCATCTGCACATCCTTCCAATATGAAGCTCATGGCTTGTACTGACTGCAGAGACATAAGGACATCGGTGGCTGAACCAGCATAGGGATCTGTGTCAGCAATCAGGTTGATAGTTAGCACCCTTCAGCAGAGCATTACATCTACTCCTCCTTTGACCTGTACTAGACTACACTGTGGGGCCCAACTGCCATTATATTACACAGGACAAAAGGGTCAATTGTCTACAGATCGTGCCCTTGGTAACCATCAAGAGCTGAATTTGTGCACATTTACGAGAATTCTCCGCACAAAGGGCTACTGAGACGGAGATCAGATTTAAGGATTCAAACCATTTCAAATGAAGTTTATTCTTTTTTCAGTCCGTAACCTTGTAAGTTTTGTGAAATTTAATTGGATTTCGCAGGCTATGTTATAAACATAAGGAGTGGAAACAATCCCGAATGTAAGCCCCCTTACCAGCTTCTACTAAGAGTGACAGCATGTCACTGAGGTGAGTCTGTAGAAAGGTCATGTGGGTGTTTTCGTCCAAACTCTGCAGAGAAAAAAAATCACAGAAGTACCTTCTATTTATCAACTGTGATGGGCTTTTTTTTAACCCTCACCTGATAAAACACCTTAGGCCAACTTTAGGCAAAATTTTGGATGTGGTGACAGTTAAGGTGGGTAAGTTGCTGATGTGAAGTGGACAATACTAGAGTATATGGTTCAAAAATATATTGTATATATATATGTGTAGGTCGATTAACTACAATGCACTGTTCCCGATGAGTATAAGCGAACTCTACTACCTTGGAATTAATGGTTCCACCTCTGCTGTCTACATCTGGGGAGCGTGGACGCATGGGCCATCTGTAAGTCTAATGTAAGGTCCATCATGTTGCGTATCATGTCCGCCCCGAGCGGGACCGAGAGAGGGTGCAAGTTTCCAAGCAACGGTGGTTCCTTTGGTGGTAACTACATTAGCCAATTCACGGACATGTGTCGCTTTGAACAAGATGGTGCTTATGTAGGGATCAGGGAATTCCCTAATTAAATTAGCGATTTATGTGACCTTTGAACCTTGAGCACATCTTCAAGGTGTGATTGGGCCCTCCTGCACATTTAGAATGTACATTTATTTTCTAGATTTCACACCTGTCGGCCGGAAGTGGCCTACAATATTACACTTTTTGGCGGGACAGAAAAAGTTTGGCAGGCTTCCGAGGTATTTTCAAGAGTGCTGCGTTAGACAACTGGGTGGATAGACATGGTGATGGCTCCCCTAGGAATCACATAGATTGTAGCATCTTACACATATCGTCCAAGCAGTTTTCATTATTTAGTGACGGCGAAATAAAAGGAATCCAGCCCATTTTTAAGTACCCAACTCTTTTGTCTGCTGATCTTTCTGTTTTGCCTGGCCACCTCCCAAGCAATTGGCCGGGGACCGAACCACTACACTTCACTGAACACTCCCCATACATGACTCTTTTTTGACCAACGAGGGGTGCTTCTGTTTAAGAGGGATATAGACTACTGAAGCATGGCATCATTTGAATCAGGCAGTGTGTAAATGAATGGATTATACATTCGTGTGTTGGTTCACTCGCTGGTTCCCACGCTAATGCCTTTTATACAGATAACAGTGCGTGTGGCATATTTACTACCGTACACTTTAGTACATGTAGATTCTATCAGCTGAAAGAGGGTCAACCATTTCAACCTACTGCCCTCCATGGTCTGTTTACAGATACACAGAAACAAACAGTTGATGAGGTTCTCTTCAGATTCACTTGTAAATGGTCAATCACAATCTGGACACAGCTAGTTGCAAACTGCAGTAGAAGTAATGTAATCTGCCTAAAAAAGGCCCCTCTATGTAAAGACACAGTGTGCCGAAGCGGCACCCATTGGTTTCCACCGGTGTCATTAAGTGATTCTGAAAAAGACATACGAAGCCTGATAATGATAACACCAATCATAAGAACACAAATACTTCTTCAAAGATTGGCAAGAATCCCTCAGGTGTGTCATCCAGCAAGTTTTGACCAGGCCAAGGTCACTTTCTATGTCATATTGAAGGATACTCTTCCCCGGACACCAGGGAAGAACGCAACGATATCTTGTGGACCTGCTGAAGGAACAAATAAATCAGGAACTCCAAGGTATCCACTGATGCCTGGTTCTTGATAAACTCTACAAAAACAAAAGAGAAGAGATAGGAAAACCGCAACAGTGTTAAAACAGGATTAAAATTCAACTAATATGCTGGGCTTACTGACATACAAGAAAGATATCAAATGTCTTCCCATGGGTTGGGAGGGTCCAACTGTACCACCCCCCACTCCCAAACTGTCCACCACTGGTTTTTCTTCTTTCTAATCCTTTGCATGTCTGCAGTAAAAGAAAGACATTGTCAGAAAAAATTTAAGGATGTATTTTTTCAGGAGGCCACCAATCAAAATCCCTTTCAAAAACCTGCATTTGTATTTATCAGCATCAGGATTGGAAGAGAAACTGTTAATTCACTACATCCTGACCAGACCTTAATGGACCAAACTGAATGTTCAGACTCAATAGATGTCCTCACTTGGCGTGGAAACCAACTGTCAAGGGCAACAAAAGCCAACCAAATTTCACACAGAGTCTCCTTGCTTGGCATTCCTTGACGTTTTCAAGCTTACCAGATAAAAGTTTGAGGCAAATGTTGCTGGCGATTAGTTCGGGGGAGGGGGGGTAGGGAATGCACAGCTCAAGGATGACAAGGCTCAAATATTGAAATATTTTATCATCTGAAAGTCTGAAAAGTTTGATGTTCAGCTGAATTTGTTTGGATACAGTGACCACTGGGCCACAAAGCTGTGCAAATATATGTCTACCAAGCATGATTCAGCTTGACTTGATTCAACGTCTATTGCTGTTAAGATGGTTACCTTTTTCTTGTGGTGTTTTGCAACCTTGAAGCTTCTCAGCCAGTTTCAGTCTTGTCTCTGCAGGACACTCGCACAGGAGGTCATAACCCTCAAAGAACCTTGCATGTGAGAAAAAATGAACAACGTAAAGACAAACTCTTTTGCTTATTTGGTGTTAGGAATAAATGACTGCTAGAAATCACAAGCTTACAATTTACAGACAACTCGAGACAATCCAGTTGCATGTTTAGGATCACACATTTTGTGCCATATTTCTTACAGTAACCTCATCTTTTCAATACTTCAACTAACTCATGGAGCACCATTTAGTTGTAACAGGCCGTGCGCAGCAGCCACGTTCAAGTTCAATGTAAGCTCCGCCTCCATAGATTTTTCTGACTTTATGCATGTGGGTACAAACCCAATGGAAGATTAACACAGGGCACGGGTGGTGGCCGAACATATCTGCTGTGCCTAGGTATACGTATGGCCTTATTGTGTTTACATGTTCTTCAACACAAAAGTGGTTATCACCCTCACTGATGATTAGACCCCTCATCTTCACCTCTGGCAGTTGATAGGAAGTCAGTTGTTGAATGAAAAGAACCGACTGATTTGTTATTACTCCAATCACTGCAAGAAACAAATCTAATGCTAAACTGACATCAGGTACGAACACTTACACAAACCACCCATTTGAGCACTTACATCCATGCAAGGTCATCAGATATGTTGAGTTTGTTCACTGCAATGTGTCTCCATACTGGGTAGCTCAGCTGAGGAAATCCTGCCTTGCCTTTAGTCTTTGCATACACTGCTATCTTTCGCAAGTACTAGAAAGAGGATAGAGGTTTCCAACTTCAACATTAAAGCAATAAAAACAATAATCATCTGTTCTGAAAAATTATGATCAAGGATGCCTCAAGTGATCAAGTGTGCTGAGCGAATTAAGCAGTAACAGAGTGGTTAGATGCTGAACATTGAATAGTGGCCTGGAGTCATGATAGACCGTGTCGATGCCCATACTGGCAGCTGGCCCCAAGCCGCTTTTAAACGTATATGCACTTGTTGAAAACTGCTCAACTACACTTGTATTTCCATTGATAATTATTTCCCCTTGTTCATCATTTCTACCAACATTTTTGTAAAACACCCCTCTTGTCATAATTTTGGTACATGCCTCCAGCACACTGCACTAAGATCTTCTTACGTCCATGGATACTGAGAATGCAAAGTACATGTACACACTGCACATCAAAGTGACGGGCTCTTGACAGTGGGAAAACTATCTGAGGTATTTAATGAATACTCATACAAATTGACAGTTCAATAGAAAATGTTGAAGATTAAGTTGTAAAGGGAAGCAATGAAGAAGCTAAATAAACCAAGACTCAGGCAAGAAGCCAGAAAGTCACACACAGTGTTCTTTCAACTTGTTATTGCATAAAGAAGGTTTAAAATGCTTAGATGCCTGCTTGTGCAGCCTAAGACCATACAGTTTAAATCTAGTAGTCAAGTATTTTATGTGTAAACCCCCAACAAGTTAATAGCTCAAAATAAGCTACTTTAGCAGCAACCATGAATATCCAGTGTTGATGTTATCGGTCATCTTGTGTGACAGCCTGTTCAAACAGATATCATTTATAAATTCATCCAATATAATGGAAAAGAGGCTGACAACTGCAAAGCTGGTGCTTATATGGGAAGTACTGCACCGGTCTTGTATTCTGCCATCGGGCACTAAATTTTGTGAGCCAAGGGATTGGTAGTTGAAATTCAAACTACACTGTACATTCATAATAAAGAATATACGGAAATCAGTAAATTTACCTGGGGACCATGTTTTAACACTGCATTCTTTCTGAATCTCAGCAAGGAGAGCCAAAAGGTGATCAACAATTGGCTCTAATACAAGGTCAGTGAGGATCTGCTCCCAGATTGAGCTGGCACTCAAAGATTTCACTTTGAGAAACAAGCAGACTGGGCCTGATTGCACCTGGGTTCTGTAATATGAAATCACTCTTGCTGGATTGGACTCAAGGCTTTGGCACTGCTACTGAGGTAGCGGCTGAAGGTATCCCCATACTTTTGGCTTTTCGGTTATGACACATTCCTATTTATTTTTTCTTTCCTAGAACATTTCCCTATTTAAATATCAGCTTTTCCCGTGAACACAGTCAACACCCACCCAAAATGTTAAAAAAATTCACAAAATGGGACATGTTCCTTAAAGGTTTTCCCTTTTGAATCAGTTAACTTACATGGAGGGAGAGTTTTGGATGTGGTGAGACTTGGAGTGCACCGATGTGGAATGGATCAAACTTGAGCCAGAGGCTCGCATTGACAGCCATCCTGCTTTAAATCTGTTCCTTATCTGTAGAAAGATACAGTAATATGAAAGGGCAACTCAAAGGAAAACATGTTTTCTCTGATTTTATCTGTTCAAATAAATATGAAAGCATTCAAATCGAACGTGGTGTCATTTGTCTTCAGAGCTCAACTATAACGAGCTAAAAACGTTTCTTTTCCGTTCATGTCAAGATGCGAATTTTGAACATGCTAAATGTAGATTGCATCATTCCGAGAAAACAGAAAAAATGAGGGGGACCCTCGCCCTTTGTTCATAAAGGATAAACCCTTGTGCATGTCAAACATTGCATGTAGCCTTGTTTGTAGCCATTGTTTGGCATGCATGAGGGTTATCCACTACAAACACAGGGCAAGGGTTCCCCTCGTTTTCTCGGTGCGTAGGAAATTTTGTGGATACATGCTCACTTCAAGTGTGAGCATAACAACCTAAAATTAAACTGATGAACACAGAAAATACACCTAGACAAAATACTAAGAATTAAGGTGAAGAAATCTTGAAACATCAATGGGGCAAAGTGAAAATGGGACGAAGTGGGGATGGGGTAGCCCCACTAGTGTGTGGCACGGACTCTCACTCCCGATCCTAACTACTTACATCGTTGTCCGTAAACTGGACCAAGGCCTATCTAGGCCTATTTACCAGATAACTTTTTCATTTTGTGAGTTTCAGAGAAAAATTGAAATGCAGTTATTTATTTTGAATATTAACAATAGTTTTGAGAGGTATTACATGATTTTTAACACAAAGGTGTGTTAAATAAAAGAAACTGCAAAGTGCCGTCTCGAATTCAGTCACTCACAAGGCCGCTGCCATCTTGAATTCTCAACTCACGCGTACGTACGAGACTTCAACTAAAAACTGGCATCGTTCTCAGGACAGAAGTGGTACTCTTCTTCATTTTGTTATGTGTGACCTGCAACGAGGTTAATTGAATGCGTGGAACTTTGCTTAAGTCCCGTGATTTTAGGCAACTGTATCTCTGTCGTGTCTGTACACTGACTGTACCGGGATGTGAGCAACTTTCGTTTTCACACATCGATCAATTACAGATTTACAGTAATTGTTGACCGTGGTAATGTGTATAAATATCAAGGTATGTTTTGTGAGTTTATATGCACAGTTATGTCATTTGATCTGACAAAACAAAGATGACTTAGACTTAATTTTAACAATTTAAAAGTGAATGAAAATAATGATAACATGCCTGATTGTACCAACATGCTGAAGCCTCTAACACTACAGCAGTAGCGTGTCTAACAGTCAGGGGTACGCCCATTATTGACAGTGTGACCATCATGACCATGCAGGTACATGTAGCTTAGTTATAGCCAGCACTTTGTCAGATGAATAAAGGATGAGGGGAAAGACTTCTATATACGGACACCACAGAATGCCGGTCAACTCGGGGGAGTCGTGTGCATGCCAACCATACGCACCAATTCATACTCTGACCAACTCGTACGCCAACCAACTCGTACGCCAACCAACTCATACGGTGTGTAGTTGCCTGCAAAGTTTAGTTCATACAAGCACGATCTTGTGCTTAAAAATAGTTCGGCATTCTGCGAATGTAAAAAAAATTGAGACTAAAAGCTTTTTTGATGCACAAGATATATGAAGGAGAGTTTCAGAGAAAAATGTAGGTTTTCTTCCTGAGCAACCTGGACCTCCCAATAAAACATAACTGAGATTTTGAATTTTTTGTTTAATTTTTCTTTAGCTTTTTGAGTGTTATTATTTCAACTATCATTTTTTTAAAAATTTCCTAGCTAAAATGCAATTTGTGATGAGTTGATGGTGTACAAGTTGGTCGATGTACGAGTTGGTCAGTGCATGAGTTGGCTTGTGTACAAGTTGGCTTGTGTACAGTTGGTTGGCATACGAGCCGACCGATCTGCATACACTGTACGAGTTGGTCGCTGTACTAGTTGGCATGCGTACGAGTTGACCTGTTTCCTTGACACCCTTTGCACAAACCCTGTGACATGTATGAGACTGGTCTGAAAAATTGTGTTTTCTAATTAAATGACTTTGATATTTCCCACCTAAATTGAACTTTTGTGGACATGTTTTTGCTTTCTGATGGAATAATACATGTAGGTCACTTTAGAGAATAATTACTGGTGTCCAGGTATGGAACTCTTTCCAGATAGGGTAACCAACAAGTATCACATGTATCATGAAACTGTATTTGAGATTTAAAATAAGAGAAAAGAAAACACCGAAAGTGAACAAAAATGATGGGAAAGACTTCCATGTATGTGTACCTGTTTACGGACACCACTTGACACTGTGCACAAACCCTATGAGACTGGTCTAAAAATTCTCGAAGTGTTTTCTATGTGAATCCCCTCGTATTTTCCCTGCTAGATTTGACTTTTTAGGTCATATAATTGCTTTCAAATGGCTACATGTAATAGACTGTACATGTAGGGTAAAATCAGTCAGTTATACAGTACATGTGAATTTAGTTACCCCAATCATGTAAAAACTATTCAAAACTGGTAACAGCCCAGTTGTTCCAATTTTATTCACCTGTACTCTTTTGATATTCAGTTCTGTTGGATGACCAAAGTTGGGCATGCCAAGCTTTAAGGTTGGCATGGTTTGGTATGTCCCAATTATCATGATTGTTTCGTGGACATCGTTGAGGCAACTGGCGGAGGTTGGGCATTAAAGGCCTCTAAGGTTGCCGACCAATATTACTAATAAGCTGCCATAGACAACATTGACAAATACCCCCCACTTCAAAAAATCAGGAAAACTACAGTTTCCCTGGTGTGTAAGACGTACATGTACACCTAATTAAAGCTCATTTCTTCATCTTTGTTTTTCCTTGTTTTCCTTTCAATTTTTAGTGGCTTAATCAATGACTTTTGAAAATACTTCTCTCCGGAGAAGATCATCCCCCCCAAAAAGAGTCTCGAAGCCAAACACCACTTTGGAAATTGATGCCCACATACATGTACATGTATACACTTTGTTGCAAAAGCAATAGGGAATGCCCCGTTTTGCCCAGTATTTTTAGAAGTACAAGCTGGCATTCCGGATTGAATCCATCCTTCTTTCCATCATCCCAGGTACATGTAGTTTATAGCACAGAATTTGACAGCATGCAAATTTATTTGGTCTGTTCAGGCAAGTTTGGGCCTACATGTATTCATACCTGCAACCGTAACTGCTCAGATGTACAAAGTGACCCACAAAAGTGGGCTGGGTTTGCAAGTGCCATTTGAAGTGATTGGCAAAGAAATCACTATATCTGAAGTTATCCCACTGCAGGTTTTAGTCTCAAAGAACAGAAAGAGCATAGCAGGGTGACACCAGCTTTTTTTCAGACTACAGACTACATGCACAGTACCTACCAGTACCTGGTTCTAATCTATAGTTGTGCCTGTAACGTGTGTTCTGTTCTTGTTTCACATTTAACAGCTTATGCCAACCATAGCGGGCTGGCTTACTGGATTACAGACAATAATGTTTCATTTCAATGGATGAGTCGGATGCATATGCCCTGAGTGCAGCTAACCAGCGGAGGGTAAGACCGAGGGGCAATCCAGGGGGATCCTTTGATGTTCTGGTAGCGTACGACTCTGACATATATGTACCAGAGTCAGTGACTGACCAGTCCAACAGGAGCGAGGAGACACTGCGAGAGCTTGCCGGACTGTCCCAGATCAGCCCCTCGTCAGCCAATACTGCAAGGCAAGACTACCAGGAAGTGTCGCTTGTTCAGGGCAGAGAAGTGAGCCACATCCGCGAAGTACCCGTTAGAGATGTAGACAGTGATATTGGCATTCGGGAAAATCCTCCTCTGAGCAGGGTACAAGTTCCTCTTGAAACCCAGCATCAGTTTGATTTATTTTCTTCGACCTCTTTACCACCATCACCTGACAGGCTGACTTCCTCAGTCAGGCCCAACGCACCACAACACCTCAACTCGTCTGAGCCCCTCGTCCAAGGGGACAGAAACTCGGCCCGGTATCTTCGCATTCTCGTGCCACAACAGGATACCAGCTCTCAGCCACTCTTTTCCCCAGATTTCCACCACACCCAGCCAAGCTACAGCAGGAACACTTCCCACAACTTCAGCGAGACAGAGCTTTTTGACAGCCTGCCCAGCACTGCAGAGAACCTCCTCCTGGAGAGTCCCAGTGACTCCCCTGCCCACTTCAGCCAACTGCGCCTGGCCCTCAACAGCTTAGAATCGGACGGAGAGACCTTCCTCTCTCTGGACGACAGCATCAGTGAGCCACAGCCAAGCCTGACCAGCGGCTCAAGCAAGCTACCTTCCAGACAGCAAAGCCGTCAGCAAAAACTCCCAAGTCAGGGCAAAACATCCGAGAAATCACAATTTTCGGAAAGTGGCCTTGAGCAGGAACTCAAAAGATTAGTGGTGCAGATATATTCTGAAAAGGCAACAGAGTTTGTTCCTATTGCTGGACTGTCACTTGGCCATCTTTCAGCAAGTACTGTAAGCAAAGGTAAACTACACCTTCTGTAAAAGTTAAGACAAGAACATTTCAATATATACATGTAAGTGTATCTCAAAAGAAAATGTTTAAGTTTGATTGTTTTGATCGCACAGACCGTATTATACTCAAAAGCAAAGATTGTATATTGTCGCATAGCGGCGCAAGATAGAAAACTTCACCATGAATGCGCGTAAAATGTTGTAATCGCCTGGGTGCCATTTGAGCAAGCAATGCACCTGCACAGTGCACGTTAATGCGCAGGCGCAGTGCCAGGCACTCACATCCAGTACGTTTGTGCGCACCTGCCCCCCTGTGCATTAATGTCCACTGCGCGCAGGCATATCGCTTGCTTCAAATCGCACCCACAGTGATTACACCTTTTTGGCAGAATTCCCCATCTTGCTTCAGTACATGATGCTATAAGATGTTTGCTCAAAAGCATTATAATATGTCTGAAAAACCATTTTAAAAGGAGAATTACATTAAAGAACTTATTTGAAAAAGCAATACTCAACTGTTGTCACCAATCTGCAGCCTCCAACAGCAATTGGTTTGTGTTGCCAGTTCATTACTGTTTTAGTTATTATCCCTCCTTTTGCTGTAACCGTTAAAACCAGTCAAAAATTCCTTCCACTTGATTTCTCCCAGTACACAGACACATACATGTATATGGAAAATTTGATTGATTTTGACTGATAGGACAACTGTGTCAAGAATGTGTCTGCTTGGGAGGGCTATTGGTGAAAATAGAGGTAGCATTGAATAGTCTGGTTAGCAGTCCCTGCATTATGGGTTGGACTATGGACTGGGATGCAGTCAATGAATGTACAGTATTCGAGACACAGGTATAACAATTTTGCAGGTACATGTATGTCTGTATGTGCACTTTGATTTTACTGATCAAATGTTTCTCGTGCTTGGCAAATTTCTGTACTTGGTTACCATATAAAATTGCACCTGGAAATACATGTACATGTAGCGTCCAAACTTACAAAGCTGGAGCACATGGTTTGCAATAGTTTTCCCTATCAGTGGGTTTCTCCTCCTGCATAATGAATAAACTTTGTTTCTATTGCTGCCCTCGTAGATAAGCAGTCACACACCATGGATGACAGTCATGCTACCCTTGTTGACTACCAAGATGATGTGCTATCATCAGGTGCCATGAGCTCTGGAACACTACCAGATATTCCTCATGGGGAGATGGGGGATAATACAGGGAGTAAGTATTGAAACAATGATTGTAGTACTTTAAATTCAGACTTTTTCAGGTGAAGTTTTTGTCGTATTTGTGGTTATTCTAACCCTAATGCCAGAGGCATCTGTGGCTTTGAATCTTCATGAACCCTCCAAAATTGTGTCCTTCCCATTAAACCCATGCAATCCGTACATGTAGTTCATTTGAATTTACATGTCCTTCTATGTAAAACACAGCTCAAGAAGGTTTTGGCTGACTTGAAGGCGGTGTCGCCATAACCTTTATTTCAAAATCAATTTTTTTCCCCTACATTTACAGGAAGCCAGCCATTTCTCTCAGGGGGCCAGCCTCAGCAACCCAGTGGAGTCTCACTAGGTGACCTGTCTAATCTGTCGTCTACCGCTGATGCATTAGCCCTACAACGCTCTGTCATCGGTGAGTGGCTTATTCCATTAAGCACAAGCGCAGTGTAATGCAGAGTGTGAAGTTACTGTCCGACATCTGCCATTTTCTAACCCCTTTTGATATTTGTCCAACTAAAAGGAGAGGTGACGTGACAAAATATCCGCAGGGAGTGCAAAGGTAAAAGGCCCATAGGCAAAATCTCCATGGTGTTTTTGCGCTTGCTTTTGTTTGTATGACATTCAAGCTATGAAAACTATGTTCTCACCTGACCGTGTTCTGTCTAAAGTTGGTAACGGCAGAATGACATTGATCCTGCTAGTATGCTTTGTTTGACCACATTTTTTGGCCAAACTTCATGCACTAATGCTGCTATAATGGGCCATTCTCAGTAACGTATGTGACAAACAAATGGGGAAATCCTATGATTGACATCCTTGCTTGGCCTCTGAAAATGGCCCATGTATACTTCCATCATGCCATTAATATGAACCTACTCACCCCAGATAAAATTTTTTATTTATTTTTTTTTTTTTTTAGCTTTGCCGCTTTGGGTCAGAGATCAAATAAATGTTAGTTACGCATGTGACATCAGACAGAAACAGGTTTTTTTATATCAAAACTTGTTTTCTAAAAAGTCTTTCAGGTCATCAGGATTTTTCCCGCTTTTTGTATCTGCCCTGAGTTGAAGTGCACCCCCAATGGCAAAAGAAAGACAGATGGTAGTAAATTTTCCAAGCGGGTTCTTGCACATGTTCTGCTTGTACACAAAGACTATACATTAAGGAATAATTTCATTACGTGCACTCAGCGTGCTCTGTGTTAAACACGCCGTTGATCTCCATTATAAATGCGCACCTATGCGGTGAGTACCAAAAAAACACGCCCTCTTTTGTTCTGCTCAGAGCGGATACTGTGGCTGTCATTTGGTTAATAGTGATTTGGGTCACTGATGCACCCAGCCTTGTTCAAACGTGTGGCAGCCTACCAAGTGAGTATGTCTGTATGAGGATGTGTGGCAAACACTTACTCTTAAAAAACTGGCCAACTTTATGGACGAAAAACAGATGGAAATATGTAACACCAACATCCTTTGCTTGTTTTTGAATGAATACTCTTTTCCTTAGATGTTTTCACCTTTTGTTTGTTTTCACCGGAAGTGAAATCAAGTTTTCATGGAGGCATTTGCCAAAAAATGGCTTAATGCACCCAATAGCATGCAGGTTCTGTGGTTCCCATGACTAAAATGGAACTTTAGTGGATGAACTTGGCAGCAAAAGAAATGTCGTGCAACTGTTGTTCCTCCCGGCGTGAGATTTAGTTTTTGTAGCTTACAAGTCATTATTATCAACCTCAACTTCAATTTTCAAATTTCAATATATGCTAAAATTGTACAGAAAGTTTGGAACCAAAGAGAATGTTTTTTGCACCAGAATGTTCGGTACAGTGGCATTCATTGAAGTAGTATTTCTCTGTATGTTTGTGGAAACCATTTACACTGTGTCAGTGGGCCCCAAGTTAGTGTGATGAGTATTTGTGACGTGTTAAAAAGCCTTTGGAATTAAATTATTACAGCGTATGTGTATATCAACTAGGTAAAAGTCGCTTGTACGTTTATTGGCTTTGAAAAGCAGAGGTCTCTGCACTGATAATGTTACACTTCGTTCATGTATGTGCTCGTGAACTGTAGCCCCCCTTGGTTGTATAGAAAGCACACGTGTACAGGTATAAACAAAGTATGACATCATCAGTGCAGAGGCCTGTTAAATAAAACAGATACACTATGAGTTTGTTAACAATGACGACTTCATGTGATGCATGTGTTTCACATTTCACTGTACAAAACTCTTACATATTCAGGTAAAAGCCCAACCAAACCAGCATCAATGGAAGAAATAGCCGCGGCGATTGCAGCAGCAGAGAAACAGTACCGACAGAGACTACAACACTACAAACAGCAACAGCAGTCAGCACCTCCTAACCAGAGTCCTGAACAACTGCACAATGGCAGTCCAGCCTTCAACAGGGTAGGAACAACCAAAGGAACTCCCTTTTCCCTGATCATTTTGCACGGTGCACTCCTGAAAGCATTGATGCTAACCCTTTGGGATGTGCAGGCTAGAAAAAACAGTTGTGTATGTTTAAGAAACCTGCACAGTGTAACAAAACTAGCTGGTCAGCTGTCCAGTAAAACTGACTCATTGTCTTTGCCAGCTATTATATAAACAAACAGGAAACATGGAGTGAGATTATTTCTCATCATCTGAATATTTGCAGTTTATTCTGTTGCTGTCAACCACTCAATGTAAATAGCAAATAGCCGTTTCTGTTTTCTACCATTGCTGTGTCTGGCTGTGTCTGAGTTAGATTAATGTGCAAGAAAACCAGAACTCTGCTGTTCATACGGGTTGTACACGTGTACATGTAACTACATTTCCCCTTTACCAATCCTCTGACCAACACGTAAGGCCAGTCCAGGAAGACAGCCATATTATGGTGTTAGCGGATGCCAGCTAACCACCTCAGTTCCTTCAAACTCTGTAGGATTGAGGCCAGGCAGGGCCCTATTAGTATGGCTCTTCATGGGGCTTAATGCCAAGTAAATGTACGAGTATGAAGAATCTGCCATTGATTTTCTGCACAATGATTGATGTTGATGAATTATGGAGTATTTTGTTACGAAAAAAAACCTATGGGAGTTGCAGCATTGTAATCAGGGGTTTCAGTATTTTAATGATATGTATTGCACTTGTTCTTGCTTTTTCATCAAAATGAGTTTCCACATTTAAATACTGGAATGCTTGAAACTCGAGTTTACAATAATCTTGAAATAATTAAATCAACTGATCACATCTTGCAGGAAAACTTGGATGAGATGCCAACCCGCCTTCCAGCGACCCCACCAAAGCAGGCCTCGGACACCGAGGACAACCTGAACCATACAGACTCCAGCACTGGACCCACCAACACCACTTCAGAAGCCTTGGCAAAAACCAAACCGGTACCCACTACCACCAGAGTGCGTCCTGGCTCCCTCATTGGACAGAATACAGGACTTGCTGTCAGCAGTGCAGTGGGGACCAAATTTGGAATCCCGCCCTCAAGTATGGACCATAGCCCCTCTCCTATTGAGACAGCTAACAAAGAGCGTATTCTGTTTCGCAGTCCTGTACAAGCCATCACAACAACACGAGGTGGTAGAACAGTGTCTGTTCACAAACCCAGTCACCAGAAAGGGGACGGCAAGACATCAAGAAATACCTCCAAGAAGGTCGATAACCAAGTCTATGCCTCGCCAGCTGAGATGAAGGCATCCATTGCTTCCAAGAGCAGTGACCCACCGGCAGAAACCAAGCCAGGCAAACCCACTCAGAGTTTTGTGGCCGTGATGGCAGCAGAGGATCGATTTGAGGTTCAGGAGATAGGCATAGAGCCGAACTCCGAGGTCATTGTAACCCGTGACCTTCAGAGTGTCGGAAAGAGACACCTTAGTGGTGAGGATCTTCAAACCGCAGCATCACATTTGCAACCGGAAATCGCCCAGCAGTATCCTGAAGCTAGGTCAGATCAAATGACCAAGGAGGATCAACCCAAACAGTCTTTTTTGGGATCTTTCTTCCAGTGGGGTAAGAAGCAGGACCCTGAACCCCAACCTCAACATAGCCTTAGTCTCCCAGGTGTCTCACAACCCAGCTCTCCACCACCAGCAGCTGTAGCAGCAAGCAATGCCACGGATCATACCATCAACACAAAGTCCCCCCGTGCTGGTCTAGGACAGCAGGCAGCCGCAGAAAGCCAGGACTCTGGGATAGACCTAGTGCCAGTGCCAAGCAGTGTGGGAGAGGTGTTTCATGCTGAGTTTGAGCCGGTCCATTCTTCCACACCTGTCAAGCACAGACTTGGAAGTAATGGCCCTGTCGCAAGGAAAGAGGTGGCATCACCTGATGTCGCTAATCAGGCACTGCAGTCCAATGAGGTAGACTCTGATGAGGAAACTGACTCTAGGATTCAGGCATCACGTCTCAGACCAGTAAGAGAGCCACCCATTCAGCATCAACCTCTGGTCACAAAGGATAGTCCCCAGCAACCCAGTAAGCCTCTGGTGACCCGATCCAACCATGTGGGAAACAGCACACCTGGAGCCAGCGTGCGTAGGAGAGACTTGCACAAAATGCCAACGACATCACTGACGTCAGTCTACGGGTCACTGAAGACTTCCAGTCCTCATTATAGTGCAACACCGATCGACCACGCCGACTTACAGAGTGTGTTACGTGAGAAGGCCAACCTTGAGGGAAGGTTGGAGACATTGGCAGCAGAGACAGAGTCAGCCCTGCAGCAGCGAGCGGAGATGCAGACCCAGGTTGCTTCGCTTCAGGCTCAGCTCAAGGCAAATGCCTCTGCTGCCGACACAGCACAACAGCAGCTCTCGGCCATGGACAGTGATATGGCCGCTGCCATGCAAAACCAGGCACAGCTGGAGCAAGCCCTGTCAGCGCTACAGACCAGCTTAGATAGCAAAGAGGAAGATTTAGAGGCTCTGCAGAGGGAACTGCAAGCCTCAGAGGTGACAAGTCAGAGGCTGAATGCCAGGATGGAAGAGTTCAGAGAAGCCATGGACACCAAAGAAGCAACGATTGCTACGCTGAAAGACAAGATTGCTGCCGTACAAAAGGAGGCTGAAAAGGCCCACCAAGAACGGACACAACATTTGGCCGAACTCAAGACACTACAGGGAGATGTGGAATCTTTGACTAGTGCCAAGGAATGGTTTCAGGAACAGCTGCAGACAGCTCAGGAAATGCGCGGCAAGCTCCAGAAAGATCTCACCGAGACGCAGAATGAGGCCAAGAAGCACGGGGCAGCTGTGGAGACCCTGAAGGCTGAGAAAGCACAGCTGATGCACCAGCTGTCTGAGACCCGGCAGCAGGCACTCAAGGAGAAGGAGCTGATCGCCCAGCACCTGGAGACCATCGAGGCAGACTTCCTGGCCCGGGAGGCTGCCTTCCAAGACCTCCAGAAGGAGAAAGTAGCTGTCCAAGAAGCTGTCGCATCCAAGATGGACCAGATGAATGAAGAGAGATTGAAACTTTCCAACTTGATAGCCAGCTGCGTGGAGCTGGAGAGACAGCTGGACAGGACTCAGAAGGAGCTGGCAGATAAACAAGCTGATGTTAGTAACCTTGAAGCTGAAAAGAAAGAAATGGTGAAGAAACTTGCCCTAGTTCAGGTGAGTGTAAAGTCCTGTTTGACCAGACATTGTATTGATATCTCTTTTGGCAGAGGATATCCTTTGTTTTACCTCCCATGTACATGGACATGGTTGGATTTTTGCATGCTTCATTTTGCTTGTGGCAAATACTATTTCGGATTTTTCAAAAATACGGTGTTGGTTTACAGATTTTTTTGGTGTAATAACTTAGGTGGAATTATCTGGGAAATAATATTCATGTGCAACTTGGTAAAGCGTAGTACAGGCAATCACAAAGTACACTAACTGATGTTACTCCTTCTGAAATATTGTGGTATGCACAATGGGTACTTGGGGGTAGTAGTAGTGAAAGAAGTGGCAGAATGAGGTATATTGTGTATTCCCACGCATATATGGGAATGTGTTCAGCGGGTCCAGAACATAAGTATGAAGCAAACCAGCAACACATGCCATGTGTTTTGCACGTGTTATTGCAGCAATTCATAGATGCCATTTTGAATTGCATACGTACATGTGGTGGATTCCATGTGGCTTTCTACAGAATTACCGGTTGATTTTTGGGATGGTGCAAAGGAAGTGACTCTCGATAATTTGGCATAATGGCACATCAAACAATTGACTGAGATAGGGAGCTGTCTGTTGATAAAGGCACCAACAATCTGTGGAGGTTTTCATGATGGGAGACAGAGATGGATTGTGAACATGGTGAAATAATGAAAGCGGATAGGGTACATGATGTATTGCCAAGATTTCCTCATAAAGATTAATAAGTTTGGACACTGCAGATGCTTGTAGTGTGATAAGTTGCTGAAGTATGATGTTGGAGACTTAAAGGACGTAGTACATTGTAAGTGTTCATTAACAACCTGTAATACTTTTAATTTATGATACAAAACTGCTGCAAACTGCTTGCTGACGTGACTACAGTGAGCTAAAATACAAATCACAAAATATGGAGGGCCTAACATTTCGGTCCGAGCAGAATCTTTCTCAAAGGCATAAAACATGGACCTCCTTACTTGTGCATGACGTATATGTTCATTATCATGCATAAAGTAAGATAAATGAAAATGTACATTATGCACATATATAATATGCATACATGCATGTGTTAACCCTCCTTTGCTGAAGTCACTCTTTGAGTAAGCCACACAAAGATGCACAGCTGTGTCGTGTCATGTACTGCACCAACTGTCCTTCACAGGAATATCAGATTGCACTTTTGTGCTGCCCAACAACTGTGCTTCACTGTTTCATGTGTATAATTGTGCCGTAAACCAAATGC